CTCATCCATCATTTATTCCCCCAACTTTCAGCCTCACACATTTGGCATCATCTCCACTAGAAATAGGTTTTAAATCTTTTGTTACGGTGTTTTATTGCGATTGTTATTTTCTGGAACTGTTTTTAACCCCTTGTTGCTGTAGCACTTTGAGATTTCCCTGAAATGTAAAGTGCATTATAAATAAAATTTATTATTATTATTATTATTAAATATCTAATGGAGCTTAGCCTGACCAAACAACATGCATTGTACTTTACTGTTTGTTCTTTCTTGTCTGCTTCTACTGCACTACATTTATCTGATAGCTTTGCTGGCTACTTTACAAATTGGGATGTTTTCATACAATACATGTTAAAAATTATAGCTGAAATGATTAGTCGATTGACAGAAAATTTATCTCATGGTTACAGCTTCAGAAATCTGAAGATTAGCTTTTAATTGATTTAATAATTGTAATGTTTATTATTAACGTTGAGGTTTGGGCTGTGAGCATTGTGAAAGGTGTCACTTTGGGCTCTGGGCAACGGTGACGGCATTTCTCAATATTTTTTCAGAATTTTAACAAAACAATCAGTCAGTTTATGGACAAAATAATCAGTAGATTGATCCATAATGAAAATAATCCTTAGTTCTGATACAGTTCAAAATGAGCTGGAAAATCCTGCTGGAAGAATAATCTAATGGTACAAAATGTACAACAGGGAACATTTTTTCTGCTTTGAGTACTTCTGAATACTTCCTGCCCACTTACTTGATTCTCTCCTGAATGTGGGTGACTTCACTTTTCTCCAGAGTCTCCAGTAAATGACGTCTGTCTCATTCATATGGATAAAAAGGACACAAGTCCATTTCAGTGGCAGGACGGGGAGACTTGATGTCGGTGGGGACGATGAATCAACCCTCAGTACAGGCAGCAGAGTTGCCCGGCAGTGGTCATCTGAACAAAGTGCCATTAATTTAGACCTAAATTGCAGTTTTATTTTGGATGAATCATTTGAAATGAATTATTGAGAATAAATGAGCGGTCAGTTGAAGCAGGTCATTCATTCCACAGTTTATATTAAACTTGAGCCTGAATCACAAATTGATGCGATGAGCAGCGGTGTCAGCTGGGGACACTGGACCCAGGATGTCAGTGTTCCCCAGATTGTTCTGTATCTTTATTTAAAGTTGGTCCAGACTGAAATAGCTCAACCTCAACTGGCTGGATGGACTTACCAGACATTCACGGTCCCAGATGATTCATTCTAGTGACTCTGGTTAGCATAGTGCTGTTAGCATTTCGCTAACAGCCTTGCAGAGCCGTGAGCGTGACTGTGTGCTGTGTATTTGTCTTTATCCTGATGGAGGTTTGTGTCGTGATATCAGTTCATGGATTATAGTTTTCTAGTAGTTTTGACTTACAGAAAGAGTACAGTGTGATAAAAACAAAAGTGTAGTGTCACTAAAGGGTACACAATTGTCTCTCAAAAGGCTACCTCCCCAGTGACAAGCATTTGTACCCTTTTAATTACAAACCCGTACTTCTATTTATGAGTGTGTACAACATGTACGTTGTTGATGTTTGAGCAGTGAGCGATTGTAATATTGTGTAGTCATGCTTACTGATTCACAATTTGAATGACCCACTGATTATCAGTGGTGGAAAGTAATTAACTACAATTACTTAAGTTCTAGTACTTGCACTTGCACTTTACTTGAGTATTTCCATTTACTGCTACTTTACTCTACTCCAGAAGGAAATACTGTTTGATCACTTTTAGCTACTAGTTATTCTGCAGATTCAGATTAATAACACAAAATCCACCAGCTCCACATTTACCAGTTGCAACTTTAAAGTGACAAACTCATTAATGCATCAATAACCATAATCCTTTATTACATAATTAATCAGCCATTCTGCATAACGAGTACTTTTACTTTTGGGACTCTATTTTGATGCTAATGCTTTTGTACTCATACAATGTGGTATTGCTACTTTTACTTAGTAAAAGTCTGAGTACTTTTTCTACCACTGAAGTACACACTTTGTTGGGTTTTATATCCAAATTCCAATTTTACAGACGTTAGAGTTATTTTCCGTCGGTCGCTCGGTGGCTTAGTTAGACCTCCTCGTGTTCAGAAAGAACCAAACATCACTGTCCCTGAACGCCACAGAGCCTCAACTTATTTTAAAGCGTATCATGAATTTATTGCCATTTTAATGATGTCACCCTCATTCATATGGAAATTGTTGAACGCCTTTTGACACACGGCACTGATCCAGGACGACCTCTGAGCTCCAACGCCAGGCAGCCAACATAGAAACCAGCATGGCAACCAGCTGTGGTCAATTTACAACACGGTATCCATTCATTAGAAAGTAAAAAAAAAACGTCAGCCCAGTACTCCCAGCTGAGCAATTGTTGAATAAGCCTCAGCTTTTAATTCGTGGGAAGTTTCAGGGTTTTCCAATAGATAAATTGAATAATAAGAACTTTGTGCCGCGTGAAATGATCCTGACTGAAATTATGGAAACGAGTAAACTAATACAAACACGGGGTCACCACAGACTCTGTAATGACATGACAACAGAGATGCAAGAATCATTTCTAACACTGAGTAGTTTCCCCCCCAGCTGTGATTTTTTCTAACGAGGCTGTGGAAAAAACCCATGAGGGTGAAGCCAGCCCGGACAAGCAGCAACTAACACAACTGAGTGTGACCAACCAGTACACCTATCAGTTAGATACTTCACTCGGACTACTTTTAAGTAATCTAATGTTGTTTGTTTATGGATCTTAAGTGTCTTGTTAAATGTCCTTTGTCGTTGTGCGTGTGCTTGGTGTTTGTATTTGTAACTGTGCTCTGTCAATATGCTGCTGTTTTGGCAAGGTCTCTCTTGAAAAAGATGTTTAAAAAATAGCAAGCAAAAACAGGCCAGTGTGGAAGTCTTAAAGGAAACGGTCGACCGTCTGGGTAACACACGTATTTAGTTTCTTGCTGAGAGTTAGATGTTCAGATTAATGCCATGCACATATGAAGCTACAGCTGGCAGCTGTGCAGCTTAGCTTAGCATACAGACTGGAAACAGGGAAACAGCAAGTCCATCTCTGTTCAAGTTCTTAAGTTCTGTGTCCAGGAATATGACTCAGGATTGTACATTACATACTTATACAATAATAACACAATAATAAAATCAGACACCGGCTACAGTATAGAGAACACATATATACACACTATAAACAAAAACAAGATAGACAGATTGAGACAATAGTGCAAAGGATCTCATTATTATGTACATATTGGAGGTGGATGAGATATACAGGTACACATACATGCATACATGTACACAGTGCGATGGAGCATAGTGCAAAGGCTACTGGAATAAATTATATGCAGGTGTACTTGAGGTAGGTGGATTTGATATTCAGCATATACAATACACAAAAGGACAATATGAACAGCTCTGAAATAGAGAATTTTCTTTTATTAAAATGAAAAGAGCTTAGCAGGTGGAGGAGGCGTGTCCCTGTCGGTGTTTGATTAACAGCAGCTGGCAGGCTGCCAGAGTGCCGGTGTTACACTGTAGAGAACCAGAGACAGAGTAAACTGCTGCACAGCTACATGTAATGGGCAGACAGCGTGTTAGTGGGATTGAAGAATAAGAACCACAGCAACATCTAAACACCTGAAGTGACATTAGCAGGTTCATTTACATGCTGATTAATGTGCTGGGCAGCTAATTAGCTATCTAACCTGAACACTGGCATTAGTGGTGCGAAGTGTTTGACTTTGACACGTTTGTTTGGTGGCTCGTTGAACAAGCTGAGGTGCAGGACAAGACGTGTTCATTTTGTAAGTTAGATAAAATGAAGAATTTAGCATGAAGCTAACTGTTCTGAATCTGCTGCTCTTGTGTTCAGGCTGCTGATTGGCTCAGTGGGACTGAGTCTGCTTTATGAAAATGCTTTGTGCATGTCAACCGAAATTTCCCCTACAGGGTATTCATAAAGTTATATCTTATCTTATCCTATAAATTTCATTGTTTGTTTTGAAATAAGATCTCCATCTACTTAGACAAATACAATTTCGGGCTCTTAGTGAGGGAGTGTTTCATTAAAATATGCTCTGGTTGATGTACATGCTGCACCCTATGCCATCAGAATCATTTCAAAGATTGTATATTACATAAAAAGTCTGTTGCTAGTGGCCATTAGTGTTAATTATCTTTTATTTGATATATATATTTAAAGTGGCTTCATGCAACCAGATACGGGAATGTCATCCGATCACACAGAGAAAACGTTGTGACTGCAGCAGTGTTCAGAGTTTCAGTGGCATCATTGATTCCCTTCAGGATTGTTGCTGTTCTGCTTCGGTAAATTTTGATTTTGGAAACTCCCGAAAGTAAAAATACAACAGAACGAGTGTCTCTTTGCCCAGACACATGGCGATGCCTGCAGACAGCACAGTGTTTCCACTCAGTCTGATCAGGCTCTTCATGCTCTCGATAATAAACAAATTCCTAAAAATGCACAGTTTAAAGAGAAGAGAAAGAGAAAAAAAAGGTCTTGCAGCCAGGATTAAGCGTGATTCACAGGCTGAACACGGCTCTGCAGCGTCATTACAGTTCTGGGGAATAGATGCGTATTGGATTTGCACTTTTACACCTGATGATGCAGTACTTGTACTTTCTGCACTTCTGTCTTTGTAACTTTTGGGTTCTTTTGTTTCTGATATTTTAATGACTGTGTTGTGGCAGCTCATTATCCAATAGATTTGAATTTCTGTTCAACCAATTATCCAATGACAATCGTACACCTGCTCTAGTTTGACTATACATATGTTTGCCTAATGTCTTTGTCCAGTTTGATAAAGACGCAGTAGTGTTGAAACAGTTAAATAATTAAAAGCTACAAGTGCTCCAGTCTTTTTTTTTTTATTAGTATGCTGCCCTCATACTGAAAAGCCTGTTTCAACATTTATTGACTCTCATTTCTGTTGTCTGGCCCAAACAGAAGGAGAGTGATCAGCAGATTACTGTGCAGTTGGATGGCAGCCTGACCACCTATACCCAGAAGGGCCTGGCAGCCGGTCAGGAGTACACCGTCAGTATCACCGGAGAGATAGACGGCAGGAGAGGAGGCCCGAGCTCCGCTGAATTCACGACCCGTGAGCTGACTATATTTATTTGTTTATTTGCCTTTAATAACTACCACAGAAACATATGATCCTGTATTTCTCTTTTTGGGTAATTTGAACAGTCTTAAATAATCTTGTTACTTCATCGGATGGTTAACAGTAATAATTTATTTCAGAGTTTCACTGCTACAAGACTGAAAACATTAAATAAATTCTCAATGAAGGATCTTGATAATCAGTACACAATACATATGAAATTCTCAAGAAGATTGGTCTTTGCGTCTACATTGAAAAAGCTACATTCATCAAATATGGCAGATACTGAAATCGTAAATATATTGCAGTTGACAGTAATGCTTACAAATGTAAAATCTCCCTATAAAAGTGCAGTTTCAAGTGGAGCGGTTTTAGAAAATGGAGCTTCTGACCAACATATTGGCTGACGTGCGCAGCTCAAATCGCCAAACTGGCAGAGAGAGTTTAAATTTCCCAATCGCTGCCCTTCCTGTGAAAGATGTAATCTGCGGCAGCTGCAGGGAGGCTGCCCAGCGGCCGACTGCATATAGGAAGACTGAGGACTGTGAGTTTAGGAAAGGAAAGAGGAGGAAATGTGCTGAGCCAAGGTAAACTTAAGGTTGACATAGTGTGAGTGTGTTTCTCCCATGGAATCACTTCCACAGCTACATGTTACCTGTAAAAAGTCTATATTGTGCCTGTTTCTTCTTCTTTGTCTTCATCCTCAGTCATCTCCGGGCCCACCAACCTCCAAGTCGTCAAGACGACCTCGACGTCTGCGGTGGTCCAATGGGAGCAGTCGCAGGGTGAGATTGACAGGTACCGTTTGACCGTCACACCCAACGACGGAGCAGGGAGGAGTGACGAAATCACCGTCCCGGCCGGCCAAGACTCGGCCCACATCCAGCAGCTGGAAGCAGGACGTTTGTATGACGTCATACTTGTGGCGGAGAAGGGCACAAGTCGGAGTGCACCAGCAACCACCCAGGTTACCCCCGGTAAGTAGGACCAAAGACAAGTTTCATGAACTTTTGAGGTCAATAGAGTTTTATTTTAGCAGATTGAAGACAACTCTGATTGTAAGTTGACCTCTCCTTTTGGAAAGTTTCTCCTATTAGTCGAAGGAAAAATATTCCTGATCTTTTAAACCTGTTTTTCGTAAAAGCAAAACATAAAATGTAAAATACTATTAATGCAGAATGTTAATTCCACACAGAAGATCTGAACTGCACCTGAAAACATACTGTACATACCATCACATACTCACACACTCTCAGCTCATTTTCACTCTCTTTCAGTTTATGTCCTCCGTGTCATTAAAATATGTTACAGGCCATCAGAAACTGGCTTCCTTAAAAACATTTAGGCTGACAAACACTAAACAGACGTGGACTCACTTGTTAGCAACTAAACAATAAGCCTACAAATATGCTTAATGTACCACTTTTTGTAGGTTCTGACACTCTGATAATTTTGGCTCTTAAAGTAAATATCTATTCCCCAACTATGAAACAACCCCAATTCATGATTAGACAGAAGACAGAAAATTTAGCTTGGGGCTAAGAGCCACACACAGGAAGTCAAAAAGTATTGAGAGACGGACTAACATGTTGTTTGTTTGGGGTATTTCATGTGCTTTGTAGAAAATAATAAAAATATAGACTAACCCCAGCCTTATCCTAATAAGTTTTACGGTTGTTGGCATTTCCGTTTTTTAGATTATCTAGCAGGTTTTGAAGTTTTACAAAAAGGTATAACCCACCCTTCAACTGTAAAAACTAGATGGACTAGATGAAACAAGTTATAAATAGGACAAAGAGACAGAGGTGGATTAGAGGTAAAGGGATAGATAACAGGGACGTTCACACAAAGCAACAATAGAAAAAACCTTAAGCCCTAACCTTGAATGTATTCAGGTGAGAACAGACTTGTTCCAGCGAAGTGAAAGCAAGTGAAACTTTATGTGTCCAGACGCCTTATTATTCAATGAACACGTCATATAAAAGTCATTACAGCGTGGAGAAAAGTTTCTGTAAAAGTTAATGAAGCGAGGTGTAGCCTCAAACCACCACGAACAAACATAATGAGTTTCAGAAGAAAATATTATAAGCTGCTCCGTTTTACTGATGATCTCAGTCATGATGTTTCCCTCTCAACAGTGACACAGACACCAAGCATGTTGAATTCCTCTGTCCAATCTTAACATTAATTATATTAAAATTTTCTCCTTGCAGGTTCTACATGGATACCACTAACCTAAGTTGTTTGCTCTTACATAATAACTGACTACAGTAAATCATCATAATGAATATTAAAACTACTTTTCTTCCTTTAGACATGATCTCTCCTTAACAACAGCAGCATATGATGACCTTTACATTGAATTCAAATGCTCACTCCCTCCACATCTTTAGGGAAGACATTACCAAGGGTTACCACAGTGGCTTTGCTGATGCAGGTCACACCAGCACCTGGACGAGATGTTGGCGACAGAGACCAAGAGTTCAACCCATCGCCTGAGGTGCAAGTCTTTGACCAACAAGGGAGGAGAGAGGATGAGAGCATGGCTGCCTCTGTAAAAGTCAGAGGCATCACTGGACCTAACAAAGGCTCCACAGCTGTGACTGCAAGAACAAAACCTCTGGTCAGCAGAAAGTTGGCAATAAATGGCACCAGGGCCAAACTCTCTGAAAGGCCCACATTGTCCAAGAAGCCAAACGTCCCAGTCCATCTCCGTTTCAATGCAAACAGAGATGTGCCTGGAGGGAGGAAGGTTGGCCCAGGCCCTTTGAAAAAGCCCCCAGTGGGGCAGAAGAAGGCACCAATAGTACCCAAGAAACGTAAACCGGGTGTCCCCACTGCTGGAGACAAGGCAACAGCTTTGACTGAAAGAGACCCAAATGTAGAGGTATCGAGCACTGGGAGGAGGGAGGACAAAAATCCAGCTACAATGTCCGTGAATGATTCAGATAAAAACAGACAAAGTAGCTCGGAGGAACCAATTGTTGCTGTTGGCTCCAAAGAGCAACCAGATGTTGGCATGGCAGGCCTTGGAAACGACACTGCTCCAGTGTCTTCAGAGCCAACTGGGAGTGTTCAACGCCAAGAGAAGAAATGTATGGACAAAATTAAAGTGACACACATCAGATTACCCCATAAGGACAGAGGCAACGGGTGTAGAGGGGGTGGAACAGGGCTGGTAGGAAAGACATCAAGCTCACATCAAGGTTCCTCTGAAACAGATGATACCCCTGATTTAAAACCCTCATCTGCAGAGACAGACCTCGACTATTCACCAGATCCTTTACATAAACTCCTGACAGACACTGTTAAAAGTTTGAATATCACAACATTTTCTGTTCACCTGTCCAAACCATCAAACCCTTCTGTTGATTCCGAAGGACTGAGGAAGCAGATTATAGGTGGACTGAAGCCATTGTCGTCATTCTCTTCCACGTCATCATCCTTATCAACCGCACAATCATCATCACCACATTCTTCACCTTCACCATCACCATCATCATCATCTTCATCCTCATCGTCTTTAGCATCACCTTCACTAGTTTCGTCTTCATCAACAGCAGCACCATCATCATCAGTAGTAACATACATGGTTTCGTCATCACCGTCATCCTTGCTATCACCTTCATCATCATCTCCATCACCCGCGTCATCCCCCCTTTCCAGCACAGATAAATCAGGTTCAGACCGAAGCAATGACCTAGCAGTTGATAACAGCAAAAGTACAGCTGATGTTGCATCACCAGAAGAGAGAAAGCCACCACCCTCAGGAAAAGGTGTCATACCTCTTTTCCGCCGCACACCTCCAAAATCTGGATTTATACGTCGCCCACGCCCAAACTTTGCATCGTTGCAGAATAAAACCCTTCCACATTTGAGAGATTCTCAATATTCCCCTGCTCGTTCAAACGTCATCCCTAGAAGAGAGACAGAGACCAAACATACATCCATAAGTGAATCATCATCTTCATCTGCTTCACAGCAATCATCCTCAGTTGAGGTAAATGCATCAGAGACGAGTGAAGAAGTACATGGAGCAACAACATCTGCACCCTCTGAAGTTGAGCAAAACCAGAAAAAGACACCAACAGAAAGAGGACGAATCCCAGATCGTCTTCATCCTATAAAGGGGGGATACTTGCGTAACCCCACTCGAAGATTTGGACCTCTTCTTAACCGAACTCGTCCAAATTTGAGGTATCTGCCTCCTCCCTCTACACCTTTAAATCCGCAGACATCAGAAACAAAGAATGAGCTCATATCTTCCACTGAACTGCCAGCCACTTCATCCTCTCCTCTTTCTGAAGAATCCTATCCTGGTGAAGGGACAGGGCCAACAAGAGAGAAGAATGAAAACAGAGTTGGGACAAGAATGTCCTCCACACACATGTCCACTGAGTTCAATCACACCCTGAGAAGCAGTGAAGTGCCTTCGTCCCATCGCCCAACCACTAAAATCGATTACATCCCTCGCGTGCAACCTTATGGTGGACGTGTCCAAAACAAAAACCGAACAAACCTGAGACAGTCTCAATACCCACATAGAGGTCCTGTACGCAGGCCTTTACCAACCAGAAAGCTAAATGGAGGCAGTAACATTACTACTGGAAGACAAATTAGCCAGTTAAAAAAGGATAGTTTCCTTGATATCCCAGATAATCGATTAGGAGAGCAAGATACCCCCATTCCTACACAAGCAGCCCAAATTAGACAGTCATTAGAACAAGACACTGCAGGGGTAATTCCAAGTGCCCAGTTGGATGGTCATGACAGTGCTGTGAGACCACAGACTAACAAATTAAATGGAGGCGACAGTGTTCCAACCCAAACTACCAGATCTGGGGAAGAAGAAACTAGAATCCCAGATTCTAACTCTGACCTGTATATAGAGAGAGCCAATGCTGGAAAAAAAACTGGGGCGACAAGTCGAGGTGGACCAACTACCAAACAAACAAGACATGGAGGCCCAAGACCAGTCACACTTTCGAAGAGCGATCCACCAACAAGAAGTACCCTGATAAGACACCACATCAGTGGGAGCCAAAGGAGAGAGTATACCAAAACAAATAATACTGCAAAGAGGTTATTTGACCATAAAACTGAACAGACAAGAAGTGCTGACTCCAAACCTGTGACAGGATCACATGTTCCTTCTTCCGGAGTCACAAGGGAACCTCTGGACTATGTGGGAGTGACAAACCGGACCTCAGATGGATTTACGCTCATATGGGACACACCAGAAGGGAAGTACAAAAACTTTGTTGTGACAAGGAAAGAAGTTGGAAAAGATGAAGGGCCCAAGCCGAAGGGAAGCAAGAAAGATCAGGAAGAACAACTAGAAGACTCTGAGAAAGAGGGTCGCAATGAAGAGGAGGAAGCAAAGCCAACCAAACCAACCAGAGAAACGGATTCAGGAAATGGAAGCAGTGAAGATGAAAATAGAGTACCTGAAAGTGTTGTTACACAAGCTCCAAGGATCCAAAGCAGCACCAAACCCAAACCTGTAACAGGAAGTGACAAAACCTTCAAAAAGCTTCTTCCCGGTTCAGCTCGCTCCTTCCAGTTTGAGAATCTGCCTCCTCAGACCGAGTACACCGTGACCTTGCTTGGAAAGGGTCCTGGCCTTCTGTCCAGACTGCACAAGCTTGTCATCAGTACAGGTACAAGCCATTGTGACTGTAAAACAACAATGTTACTGCACAATGCTATAAAAGTACTTTAAATGTTTCAATGTCCTCTACAGAAAATTAGCTCTTTTCTTCTCCCACCACCATTACTTAGAATAAAAACCTGTTCATGCACCCATATCTTTACTGCACTACGTGTCTTGTGCTGATTTAAACAAAACATAATTTAACTAATTGTCACTTGTCTTGAGTATGTCTGAAAATGTTTGCTCATACACTAAAAGCTTCCTCCATGTTCATTTCAAGAGCTAAATTGCTGTTGTGCTCTTGAAAACTGTAAGTTTGCGATTTACAGTTTGACCCCATGTATTTCTCATGTAATCATTGGTTCGCTAATGACGTAACAAGGTTTGTTTGTTTTCAATGGATCACTGTGTTTAAAATGCCCATAAAGCTGTTGTGTTTTGTGTTAATGCTATATTTGTGCTCTCATTTGTCAGCTTTCATGATTATATGACACTTATATTCATGAATTAGCAGTCATATATTATAATAATCAACCATCTCTCAACCATGAAGACACACTCCGTTATTTGATGTCAAACCTCTGATTTGCTTGCGAAGTTGTGCACTAGCTGATGTGTTAAGTTTGTAGTGGCTTACAAACTTAACACATCAGCTAGTTGAATGTTAACATAAGCATCTGTTAACCATAGCATGTTGGCTAACTGTGACGTTACAACCAGGCGGAGAACAACAAACGCACGTTTAAACGTTTACAGCTGAGAATTGCGGCTTATTTTTGCTCAACTCAACGATCAATCGTGAGTTAAGTGTTAAGTTAAATGCTAAAGTTGATGTTACTTGTTTGGAGTCCGCTCCGCCAGACCGGGAGCCGGGTTAGTTTTGTTTTACGGTGCCTGTCTCTTCTTTGTCCCTCCCTATTTTCTTTCTCTTCCTGCATTTTGCAAATAGTGCCATCAAATCACATCCTCTTAACTTGATCTGAGCGTTGCAACAGCAATAAATGTCGGTGTGAAACAGTGCACTATATAGTTATATGGATTAAACAAAGCATCAATGCAAAGAATTTGTGTCATGCTTTTTAGTAATTGAATTATTCGAATAACTCGATAAATCCTTTCGGCCCTAGTCATGCATGTAACTGACTTTTGGTTTTAGGTGGCAGATGGGTTGTATTTGAGTTACTTGAAAGCCCAGGATGCTGAAGGGTACGTTGTGCGTCAAATGCCCGACACTTTGTCGGGCAGAAAACGGAGAATTAAACAGTCTCTCATTAGTGAGACAGATTTTTAACTGAGGTGACATCAAATGAGAGTTAAAAAAACAAACACCAATAACAACCTAACAACTCAGTTCATTCACTGCTGCTCTGGTCTTTTCTCATTCAGGGTAAGCTAACAGCCAGCTTCACTGACACCCCTTCACCTCTCACCCAAACCAGGGTAAGACCACGGCTGGTCTCTGTACATTTGGTCTGTCTTCACGTTTTAATCCCATGAGTTTACCAGAAAAAAATAATGAAAGATCATATCAAAAAAATTTATTTTTGTAATTTAACAGGTCTGGGTATCTTAATAAAACAATATATGTCAGCAATGTCAGTACAGATTGACAGTATAGTAGGATCAGATGTCTTACAAAGAAGAGTCTAGTACTCTTTTGTAATACAAATGTGTAATAAGATAGGAATGGATCAAGAAATGTATTTCCAGCACATACAGTGATAGTTCAGTGATACCCAGCCCTCCGTACGTAGAAAATCATTCACACTACAGAGGTTGAAAATCTGAAAATCCAACACTTTTAATGTAAATCTTCACTTTTAGTTCTTCTGACTGTGTTGAATTAATATGTGAATGTATTTGTTTCTGTAAAATTGTCCAACTTTCTTCCTTTGGTTTGACGTCCTTCATTCCTGCCACGCTTTTGTTTTCAGGTTTGGTCGACCAGCTAACCGTTAAATTTCATCATTCTTTCCTTCACTGCTGTCCAGGATCCGTCATCCGCATTTACGTGTTATAATTAATTACTATGTGGCTGTATATGATCTGTATACTGTATATATGTTTGCACTGTACATATATACACACATAAACTCATCGGAGCACTAATAACAAATGTGTGGATGAATAAATAATAATTTGCACACGGTTTTCGGTCATAGTGGCCATTTTTATACCTTCTTCTCTGACTGCTCTTTTATTTCATCTGGTCTACTTTTTATTTCTACTTTGTCAGTTTCGTCTATTCCCTTTCTCTTTCACTTCTTTCTTCAATTCGCTTCCCTCCTTTCCTTCCTTGCTTTCATCCACCTCTCTCATGGTATACTTCGCACCGTTCAGGCCCGGAGCCACCCACCGACATAGTCTTCAGCGAGGTGACGGATCGGTCTCTGACGGTGTCGTGGACCAAACCCAAGACTCCCATCAGTGGTTTCAAGGTCACCTACACCCACGCAGAGGATGGTGAGAACTGACTCCATGTTTTGTTAAAAGGCACTCAAGCAAACTTTCTTGATAAAGAAATAATGCTGGCCACATCAGCTGTCACTATTAATGTTAATAAACTTGATGGCAGGCCATTATTAACTTCTACTGTTGTTGAAGAAGGAAGAAGCTCCACTGTGTTACTCTACTGTACTATCAGAGTGAAACGTCTTCTCTTTATAACACATCACATCAATTTCAAAGAGTTACAGGCTCCCAATTAATCTTTCAGTCATATCAGATTAATAATTTAAGATAAATTAAAAGTTTTAAACCAGGGCCTTCAGTATTTGCTTTAAGTAGCACTTTAAAAACCTTTTATGTTATTGTGACATATACAATATTAAAAGGCTTCAGGGCCCCCATAAAATGCAATCAGGACATCCCTAGAAACTAGATTTTTTGTGGCATAAAGTAAATTATAGGTTTTTACAATACAGATAAAATGTTTGTTTAGGCCTTTTGTTTTATGAGCTCTACGGAACTTTTACCAGATATGTATCACAACACATTTCTTGGATGTACAAATAATTGTACAGTAGCAGACTCACCAATCCTTCTCTTTGCTACTTGCTCTTTGACAGTGTTACTTTGGAAATGTAATAGGTTACTGATTACAAGTAAATTGTAATAGTACTGTGTAACTATTTCAATTACTTCATCAAAGTAATGTAACTTATTACATTTAATTACTTTTTAATTACTTTTATAATTTCTAATGAAAGTTTTTAGCTGTTTACCATTTTCAAAAGACAGCTACAAAATTTAACTGGCACCCGGGCGACACTGCAAATTAAAACATGAGAACCAATCAAAGCATCAGAATAGCGTTAAATTTTACTAAACGGCTGTGGCAGGAAATGGCAAAGGAAAACATTGTGCACATGAAAATACATTCACATGTAACCCTCAGTGTAATCATGAACATTTTCATGACTGTAATTTATTTACACATTTAATCCCAGTAACTGTATGAATTACAGTTAAATTTATACTGTAAGTAAACTAACTTAATTACTTGTTACTCCCCAACGCTGCTCTTTGATAAGAAGCTTCAACACAGCACACCTTGTTACCAGACTTTAATGCCAGTTCTGGCCATAGTTGACCTGAGTGCTGCTAATTGGAGCAGCCAGCTCTCATTGGTTCCTGTAGGGCCAGAACACAGCCTGGCATGCCGACACGCTGCAGCAGCCTGAATTTGTGCTTCAGATTTCTCAGATTATCGGGAATATCTCTCACATGTCAGCTTTAAAAGTAACAGTCGTGTTTTCTTTTTATCCTCTTTTTCTCTCTGCAGGTGAGCCGGTGTCCGTGTCCGTGGACTCAAACGAATCCACCCTCGACCTTTCACAGCTCTCACCTGGTTCTTCTTACGAGGTCAGCGTCATCTCCATCCTCGGACTGGACGAGAGCGATCCAGTCAAAGACGTTGTAATGACACGTACGTACTCCAGGTTTCGCTTTGACACTTTTTTTTATTGTATTGTAGCTGAGCTGATGTTAAAAGCAGCGAGACTTAAAATGAATGTACAAATATCAGGCATCCTGTGTTTTTTAAACTAGAGACAACAGACTTTTAGAAGTGAAATATCTCCACCATGAAAATGTCCCTGTATATATATTGAATATGAAACTTCAAGAAAGATAAAGAGTTTAAATTTTCAACATATCAAAACTGCAAACTTGCATCTTGAGTTTGATGTCTTTGTGTAAGAAATCATGTCTTTCGTAAGGTCCGCAGCAGGTGCTGATCTGGAAACAATCTGGTTGTTGGTGTCTCAGGGGAGCCTCGCCCTGGATCTGTTCAGTGTTCTGTGTTATTTCAAAACAGGTTTTTCATTTTTTCCAGACGATTCCCATCGCTGATGCTGACAAACTGAGCACAATCTGTCTCAGTGTGAATCTTTATGGATGTTTTTTGGCCTCTTTTGCACCTTTCAACATTGTTCATTGTTTTATTAATGACTTTTTTCTCTATACAATAAGTATAAATATTCTTTGCTATCTTTATTTGGCTCTCAGTCCCTGACCCGCCTACAGACCTCCGGGCCGTAAATGTCACAGACAACAAGGCCTTGCTATTGTGGCGTCCAGCGCTGGCCGCCATTGATAAATACGCCATCGTGTATGGCTCTGGAACAGGTAAGTGGTGAAGCTGTGGAGTTTCTTGTGCACCCGTTACTGCATCACTGTACATCCTCAGCTCATAAAACACTGCAGCAGAATCTGAACTTAATGTTTCTTTCTTCGTCCTTCTCATCTGTTCAGTTGTGCGGCTGCACTTTCCTGGACTGGCCTCGAAAATCCTACTTTTTAGTACCACTGTTACACAGTTCAGCTTGTCACAGATAAGCACTGGAATGATTTTAAAGGAAAAGTAAAACAAGTACACACATACAGAAGTACTTTACCAGGAGACATGCTTTTGGTTTTCTGGTTGTGGTCCTGTTCCACATTCTCTAAAGCCAGACCAGCACGTTCTCATTCCCAGGGCGTCAAATACCTGCACTTTGTCACATCCTTCAGCGTCTGGTAAAACACACATGGCACCCTTTAGCGTCATTGTTCAATACCAGAGTAGGCCTAGTATAAATAAGAGAAAGGTCAGGAGGTGGTTGGGGTGGACGGGAGGGTCAGAAACGGGGCTAGCGGAGTAAAAAGTACAATATTTCCCTCTGAATTGTAGAGTAGAAGTATAAAATAGCAGAAAATGGAAATACTGAAGTAAGTAAGTACAGTACTTGAGTAAATATACTTTCCACCACTGACTCGCTGATTGCTTTATGTTTTTGTTTGTTCAGGTTCAGAGTTGAGGGTAAGTGTGTCTGGAAACGCAGCAGAGCAGCAGCTGAGCGGTCTGGAAGGCTCCACCACCTACATCGTCACCATAACCAGCCAGCAGGGCAGCCTGGAGAGCTCAGCGACCACCACCATCTTTACCACCGCGGGTGGTCAGTACACACCCTTACCCTAAAACTATTCGTTACCTGAACCCTAAAACCACGTCCACGGCAGAAACTAGGACAGAAGGACGTACTGCATGTTGAAAATAACTGGAATTACTCTGCTGGACCTCTGCAGGCTCGGGGAAAGATGGGGATGCGCCACACGATCTCCAGGCTACTAATGTGACCCCTCGCACCGCCGTGTTGTCGTGGAAGCCGCCCTCAAAACCCGTAGGTAGCTACAGACTGACCTATGAGACCGAAGGTCAGGAAATGAAGGTGAGAAATGTCATTTTGCTACTTAAAGTTTGTCACTCTGCGACTATCGTGTTGTTCTCGTGGTTAAAAGCTGTAATCACTAGCGTTGGCAGAAGTACTTATATCTTTACGTATTGTTAATGTAGGGGAGTACCTCAAAATAATATCTAATGTATGTAGTTACTTTCACCACCTCTCACCTTTTAGATGTTTGTCATTTTTTGCTTTCCTCACATTTTGTCATTTAGTTTCTGAGGTCAGAAACTTTTTTCTCTTTCTTTCTTTGCCACAAGTTATTTTAATCTCTCCTCTCACACAGCTGCATCCACAAATTCATACATTCACGTGACACACCACCTCAAAAATACGTCTTAAATGGGTTTAATAAATTAGAAGTAGAGGTTATTTAAACTCAAAACTCACTCAGTAGACAATCACCTCTCGTCTTCCTGCTTCTACGTTCACAGGAAGTGATTGTGGATGCCGCGCTAACAGAGTACAACCTGAACAGACTTCAGCCTGGGTCGAAGTACACGGTGCATCTTCAGGCCGAGGGAGGAGGACAGTACTCTGCTGCCATCTCCACTGACTTCACCACCGGTAACAGCTGCTTACGTGTTCGATTACTGTCATGGCGATTAACTGATAGACAGCTGAAGTCCCGCTTCCTGTGTTCCTCTTCCTCAGGCACCCTGAGGTTCCCCTTCCCCTCCGACTGCTCTCAGGTGCTGCTGAACGGCGTCAGGACGTCAGGCGAGGTGGAGGTTTTCCCTCAGGGGAATCTCGGGAAGCCGGTGATGGTTTACTGCGACATGGAGACGGACGGCGGAGGCTGGACGGTACGGGGACATCAATGACGGCTTGGTTGCAGTTTCAGGTTATGTTAAGGTTTTTCTGCGTGGAACCTGGTCTGTGTGTTTCCTGCCTGCAGGTCTTCCAGAGGAGGAAGGACGGCTCGGTGAACTTCTTCAGAGGTTGGAAGGACTACACTAAAGGGTTCGGGGATCTGAGTGGAGAGTTTTGGCTGGGTGAGAGCGACACTCTTCATGATGCTGAAACATTTTGAGAATACACAGTCAAGTACACTTGCTAGAGTACTGTACTTAAATTCAGATTTGCTGAAAAGCTAAAAACAGGTCTGTTTTTCTAATCTCAAACACGTGATGATCGTTGCTGTAGATTAAACTAGACCACAGGATTTAAATGAGGTAAAATGAGCTCAACCTTAAACATCTACAGCAGCAAAATGCAACATACATATTAAAGCAGCAGGAATATTAACCCATAAACATCAGATATAATAGTGAAACACTGACAGGAACATTTTACTGAACTAAAATTATTAAATACATTTAGCTGATAATACATTTTTAACTAAGGTTTCAGATGCAGGACTTTTATTTATTACTGTGTGGTATAAGTACTTTTACTAAAGTAAAGGATCTGAAAACTTCGTCTAAAAAGTGGTAATTAATTGTAAGTTAATATTAAAAGTGAGACTAGATTGACAGAGAGACAAACAAAATACTGACAAGTAATTAAATGTATCGACGAGTCTTTTACTTGAACTCAGCCGAGCAGAGAAAACATTTTTAGACGAAAATATCCAACACAAAGTCATTGCAAAGTCATTTTGTGTTCATGGCAAAAGCACTAAAACCTCACAGTAAAAAGCTGCAATGCAACATAACTATTAACATCTGTGACACAAATTATAAACAGAACCAAGTCAGCAGAAGAGACACACTATTTAAAACCAGCCTGACGGGAGGAGCATCAGATAATGTGGAAATGGTAAAGGAGAAGCTGTTGGCATAAAACAAACCTGAGCCCCTGAACAGGGGCCCTGTAGTCAGGGGCCTCGTCCTCATACATTACATTACATTTACATTTATTCTATTAGATGACGCTTTTATCCAAAGCGACTTACAATTGCTGGGCAACTAGCAGGTGCTGTTGGGCAGCGATGGAAGAAGTACTCAGATCCTTTACTTCTGTAAAAGTGACCACAGTGTACAAATACTCTATAACAAGTAAAAGTCCTGCATTCAAAATCTGATGTAAGTAAAAGTATTAGCATCCAAATATACATACCACTTTGTTCGAATAAAGACTAATTAAGATTTTTTACACATAAATCTGAAGTCGTGTTTGTCTGAATTCTGCTTCAGGCCTCGAGAGCCTCCACAACCTGACAGCGATGACCAGGATGAGTCTACGCGTCGACCTGCGAAACGGAGACGAGTCGGTGTTCGCTAAATACTCGACGTTCGAGGTGGCTACGAAGAACTACCAGCTGACTGTGGGCGGGTACAGCGGCACTGCAGGTGAGAGCTGAAGTGGAAAATGTGGTCTCTGGAAGTGATGCTGCTGGGAACTGCTTCCTGTAAAATCTCCTTCATGTTCATGTACTTTACTTTTTACTTTATCCCTCTCATCTCCTGCGTGTTTGTGGTTTCAGGTGACTCCCTCAGTTATCACAACCACCGGATCTTCTCCACCAAAGACCGGGACCCGGCGCCATTCATCACCCGCTGTGCCATGTCGTACCGAGGCGGCTGGTGGTACAAGAACTGCCACGAGGCGAACCTCAACGGCCTCTACGGCATCGGCGTCAGACACCAGGTCAGTGACTGTTGAAGGGATGCACATCGGGACACGTTCCTTCTTACAGCCACTGATACAGTATGTATGCTAATGAGGTCTCTGGTGACGTCACCCCTGACCTGTTTGGTCTGGTTAAATCCAGCTCCGATGAGTTTTAGTTCGGTTCATGACTTGGAGTGAAAGCTGTCGACCAAACAAATGGACCAAACACATTAGATCTGCTCTTAAATCTTCTGCTGATCAGAAACTGTCGATAAAACAATCTCCCGTTCTGTATAAGCGATGTTAAACAAAGAGTATAGCAGGTGGGTTGCAAAATAAATGGCCCTCACAGACCTCAAGGTGGCGCTATAACTATCAACTTTTCGTTTTTGCAATTATCTCAAAAACGTTGTTTAGAGTCAAACTTCTTTCATCAGTTAAATCTCTAGATTCATCTGCATCTTTGCTCCGATGGTCTAAAAATGTCAAATTATACGACTTTTTATCACTTTGCTCTGAAACCTATTTTTGCGAACTCGTCCCAGACGCTTTCGCCACTCGACCTGAAACTTTGGCAGCGTCATCTACAGACGTCGCTGATCAAAAGTTATCAAAAGAATGTTGATATGTCAATCAGTTTTTTCTTTTTCATAAATTTTTACTTTTGTGTTTTTACTCACATTTTACATAAATGCCTGTAAATTAAAATTGGCTAAAGCTATTGTAACCAAACTTGCCGCATCTGTTCAGATGCTCATCCCGAGCTTCGCTGAGCACTAGGGGGCGCTACACACGCAAAATGTTTATACCACGTAATTCGCTGGATGGATTCGTATGAAATTCTCAAATGCTCAAAGTGGGCGTGGCTTATTACAAGAAATGTGAATTTCTAGACATTTCTCATTCCTAACTTCAAAAAAATCTAAGAAAATCATCCGTACATCCTCGAGAGCTGAAATATTTTCAGCACATCCACTGAGTTATTAGTAACGTTTGCCTCACTGCAACCTGTGGTCAATTCAGAAGTCTGTCACTCTATATTTTTCAGAATATGCTAAATCAAAAAGTCTTTCTTCAAACGCTGCCAAATCGTCACAGTCGTTCTCTAGATGGCCAAAATCTTGTGTTGCAAAGTGTTTTTAAATCGGTCAAACGGTGAGTCTGCAGTGATATTTAGTATCTTGCTGTAACTTGTACATTATGCACAACATACATACATATAAAAATCAAGTTTGCGTTTCCCCAATTATCTCCGAGTCCAAATTCTTTCATCTTTTTAATCTCTCAAGTCGTCTGCATCTGTTCTTCTCCTCTGAAAATGTCAAATGTTGCTTTTGCTGCTTTTCACAACTTGCTTGGATCCCGATCATTGCTGCTTGCGGCTATATTTTTTTATAGTTTTTGTCAGCTTTCTTAAATTACATACAAATGTATTTAAAATAACAATAATTGTCCTTAAATAAATACTGTATGTAGCTCATTATATAAAGGATTATGTCCATTTCTCTTTCTTTTTTTTAAGATATATTTTATAGTTCTAGTTGTATATTTACGCACTTCCTGAGCCGAGGCTGGCTGGAACCGATACTCGACCCAAAGGATCCTGTAGTGTCAGGGGTTTACAGACATAATCGTAAGGTCGCCGACTGGATCGGAGGCTCCCCGATTTCAAATCATAAATATCAAATGAGCTCAGCAACAGCCAGTGAGAGCGAGCTCAGCGGGAAGCGTCACCAGCTTGTTGTGTATTTGTGTGTACTTCCTTTTCTCAGCCTCGAGTTCATCCACAGTTTTATTCTCTTTTGTTTTTCTGTGCAAAATATAACACACACGAAGTGCAACCAGCTGACAGCGACAGTCTGACCATATGCTTGTTTATTTCTAAATTCACATTGAATGTGAGTTTCTGTGAGATCTCAAGTCCCTCTGAAACCATTTATTAAAAACTGTGTGGTCCTGCGTCCTGACTGAATTGATTAAAACCAAAAAAAAAAAAAAACATGTCTGTAGTATCCCACATTTTTAAGATTTGAAAATCCTCCAGTGTGCACCAGGCATTAGTTTCCTGTCTGACATTAGTGTGTGTGTGTGTGTGTGTGTGTGTGTGTCAGGGTGTGATCTGGACCACCTGGAAAGGAAAAGAGTTTTCCATCCCGTTCACTGAGATGAAGATGAGGCCAGCAGCCTTCAGTCCTCCAACCACAGGATGAGCGAGAGAGAGAAAGAGGATAATGAACTGCTAAACACATGCATGGGCAGCAGTGTGTCAAAACATTTACACACACACTCAGTTTTATAGGGAGCCGCGTTCTCAGAAGAGATGAAGACGTATTTTTTCATTTGTATAGAGGTCAGTTATCAGTATGTTAGAGTAGAGTGTACAGTTTTTATCTTTTCTTCTTTAAAGCAGCCCCGATCCCCCTTGATGTTTAAATTTCACCCAACTTACAGAAACACAAATTTTCTACCCATGCCGATAGTTTAGGATCACTTTTACAGGTGTAAATGAAGCTGACGTTTGATCACTTTTTGTCTGAAGGTTGGTCGACCAAACCTGCAACTCAGAAGTGACTTTCTGTCTGACTTTTGTTTTTGTTTCTGAGAGCTACACATGCAGTAAAGTACATTAATCTGTTGCAGGTCGAGCAAAAGCTATTCAGGAAATAATGAACAGCCTTATTTTGAGCTTGATGTATTCTTCACTTTATCCTGTGGGCTTTCTTTTGTTTCATTCAGACCAATACATAGATTTTTAATTAAAAGCAAGTTCTCAAAAATGTCTGATCAAGTCCTCCTGAAGTGAAACCAAACAGGGGATGTGGTTGTGATTTGAATCTGTAGAAACCTGTGCAGCAACCACAGTGGAAGACTTTCATTCATGACTTGCTTTAAAGCTCGGCAGCGCCCCCTGCTGTTCACTGTAAGCTATAGCCGATGCACTGCAGCCCTTCAGTAGATACACTCTGTGGGTACAACCCTTCAGCAGGTGAGTGATGGAGAGTTTCATCCTCTCAGTGTTTGTCTTTTTTGTAAATCCTTCCGTGTTTTATTTCCCTTTTTATGTTGCCCACTAAAAGAATAAGATAATAAAATGATTGAAAATCAAAGCTGCACAGTTGTTTTTGTTGGTCTCAGCTGAGAATGTTTTGCAGGTATTTGGTCATAAACCGGGAAATTAAACTTTGATCTGATGGTGGCTCTAGAGGAAAAGTCTGATCAAAGTTGTTGGCATTTATTGTCTTTTTGTACCAAAATGTTCTGGCAGTTCATCCAGTAGTTATTGAGATATTTCACTAAAAACCACAATTTCATCCTGATGGTGCAGCTAGAGGAAAGGCCAAAGTCACTAAGATTCATCCTCCAGGGTCCATCCAAAAACTCGATAAGATATGTAAGCCTGAACCAACGTGGTGGATCAACAGAAGACGCGCTGGTAGCCAAAAATGCATCAAGTCTCTTGTGTCTTTGTCTCCTCCTCCTCCTCCTCCTCCTCCTCCTCCTCCCCAAAGACGTTTTTCATCATGTTTTTCTTTGAGGCCAAGTGGTTCACACTTTTCCCCCCGCGACCTTCATCCCGCTGCGAGGACCACAGAGGGGTCAAGAGAGGAGGATCAGTGAGTACTGACCACAGGAAGGACATTCATCCAACAGAAGTCTGTACTTTAGAAAGTTTGAAAACATTCCTCTTTAAGCAGCTGTATCGTTAAACATTGTTGATTTGTAAATATTATAACGATGTGTGCATAATGTGGCCCTTTTTAATGGGTTTTAAATCATTTCTTTTTGTGAATAAACAGGACAGGACGTTGTTTTTATAATGTACCTGGTGTCTCATTTGGAGAGTTCATCCTGTTCCGTGTCTTTGTTTGATGTTATCAGTCATCATTTTGTGGTTAAACAGGAGAAAAAGTCACATTAAACCAGTTTGGCAGTTGAGGGATAGAGCCGTTGTCTTTTCATCCTGGAGTGCAGATCCCAGATGTCCTTTTAAACACCCTTTGTTTTTTTTTAATTGGCCCCCAGGGTGCAGCCCCACCTCCACCCCCCATCCATCTGCCTGCCGGGTGGCCAATCAGGTCCGTTCCTACCTGCGCTCTGAGCCACCCGGGCTTCTTGTTTACAGGTGTGTGCCGGGACGTCACCTGGGACAGACGGCGAGGAGGGAGGGCCAGGTGCTGATCCCGCTGTCGGCTCAGATGCTGTGACTGTGATTGGTGGAGGATGAGGTGGAAGCAGATTTCAGGTCAGCGTTCAGAGAGGGAAACTGATCCCAAAACCACAAGACAGGAGGCTGCAGAGACACCTGGAGAAGTGAGAGCTCAGGTGGTGGACAGTTCAAGATCAAGTGCGAGACGTTAAACAGCGAGGCGTTCAGGAGAGACACAAAGCAGGGAAAGGTTTGATTTCCCACAGAAGACTGTGGAGATCTTCTTCTTTAAAGGTCGTGTTGTTTGAAGGTTCCTACCGAGCACGCTCAGTGGAAAACCAACCAGGAGTCTTTCAAGAAGACAGGTGACTGTATTGACCTACTGCATTCTTGCGTGAACTAAATTTGTATGTATAGTTTAGTGCTGCAACAGGTCTTTTCATTATTTATTGATTTATTTCATTATTTTCTCATTTAATTTATCTATTGTGTGGTCTACATAAAAGTCCAAAAGGCGGACGTCTTGTTTTGGAAGCTGCACGTCAGATATTTATGTGCACAGTCCATAATAAGAACAGGAAGCCAAACTGTGGGTACATTTAATAATGCTGCTGTGTTCAATGACCTGAGGCAGCAGTTAAAAAGTCTCTCGAAAGAAAATGAACTGCCAACTATTTTGATAATCGATTGATTGTTTCAGTAATTTTTCAAGCTAAAATTTCAAACATTTGCTGGTTCCAGCTACTTAAATGTCAAGATATGCTGCTTTTTATTGGTCTTTTATGATTGTAAATAAAGAGTAGTTGGGTTGTGGGATGTTGGTCAAACAAAAAAAAGCAATTTGAAGATGTCACTTTGGTGTCTAGTGAAATCATAAGAATTTTGCAAAAAAAAAAAATTTTTTTACACTAAATGATTAATCAGTTAATTGTGACTAAAATAGGAGGATTAATAAAATAAATAATAATATGATAATGAAAATAATTGTTAGTTGCAGCCCAAGTTAGAAGTATAAAGAGACAGATTCATTCTGTTTGAATTTATGAATCTGAGTCTAAAAGAGAGAGGGAAGGAATGTAAGAATGAAAAATGGCTGTGACGTCTTTGATTTGATTGCATTTTAATGCTGCCAGTTGGTGAATATGTAATTTCACCACGACCTTGAAAGTAATTGAAAAGTCCTGAATGTCAAGTGAGAGGAGCAGGAATTCCAGCAGCTAGTGAACATCAGGACCTTCATGTGATTATAAAGTTTTCCTGTTTATGACCTCAGATGAATCAAGAACAAAAAAACACAGAATTATGTCACACTTGTTGTGTTACAGTTTGGGTCCGTGTTGTTGTTGTTGTTGTTTATTAATAGACACATGAAATGAGTCTGCTTTTAGTTCCCTAATGAGGGCTGTGATTACCGAGTGGACTTATAATTACCTTCTTCTCAGGACAATCATGATGTCGCCAGACGACCGAGCCCTCGAGGACTTGTTGTACGGCAGTGACCTTGGTGACGAGGCGGAGGAGGGGGAGCCGGGCGGCGTCCCGGAGGGGGCGCAGGAAAGTGCTGCTGCAGACAATGTGAGCATGACAATGGTGGAAGAAGGATTAAGATTCTTTACTTAAGTAAAAGTACTTTTACCACACTGTAAAAATATTCCACCACAAGGTAAAGTCTTGTATTTAAAACCTTCTTAAAGAAGGTATGAAAGTAAAAGTAAAAATACTCCTGTTAGTGTTTCACTATTATATCTGATGTTTCTGGATTAATATTCCTGCTGCGTTAATGTGTGTGTTGCATTTTACTGCTGCAGAAGTTGAGCTCGTTTCAACTCCTTTATATCCTGTTGGGTAGTTAAATCTGCAGCAATGCATCATGGTCTATATGCATTTTCCAACTGATCCAAGAGGGGTTAAATTGTTTCTTTAGCTTAAGGAGGATTTGATTTTCTCGTCCCAGTAAAGAACTCTTCATCCTGCAGTTTATCACAAACATTCAACATCACCACATCTGGAGATACAAGTGGAGTAAAAAGGACAATATTTGCAAGTTGATTTACAACACTTGAGTGAAAGTATTTAGTTACATAACGTAAAGGATGAAAATAACAGATTATTAATGCAGCAAACTTAATTTTCAACAAAGAACAGTCTTTTAGACAATTATCTATTGACAAGGAATCAATCATGGAGGCCAAAGGTGAAGTTATCATTACCCTTGATTCATGCTATTTTCACATACATTATTTATGTAACAACTACAACATCAGCTAATACTAGAAAGTTCACAACAAATGTATAAATTATAATTATAGCAACAGAGACACTTGCTGCCTTTAAATGTATAATGATTTGCTTTCATGCTGCCAGGTCAACAACCTGACCTCTGACCTGCAAAAGGTGCAGAAATCAAACTAACTTTATTTATACTGTGTAGCACAACCGACAGAAAGACAAGAAAAACAGAAACAAGAGGGAAAAATTACGCAAAGGAAAGTCTAAACGGATCTGAGATCCAAAGGGAGAGAGTAAAAAAGTAAACTAAAAATCAGCTTAGCTTTTTTGCAGCTGGAGTTCAAAAGTAGAAGTTAAAATATATATAAATAATTTACACAGAAACACTAGTATATCAATTCTAGGTGGAATAAAGAGAGAAGACCAATGTAAATAAATCTGTCTGTCAACCTGTCTCAGACTCTGACAGCAGTGTCCATCCAGGAGCCAATGATGTGTGCCGGCTGTGGCGAGCAGGTCTGCGATCGCTTCTTCCTATTGGCTGCAGGTAGGGTGTGGCACGGCGCCTGCCTGCGCTGCAGCCAATGTCACTGCGAGCTGCAGACACACCCCTCACTGTTCTGGAGAGACGGAAACATCTACTGCCAGCAGGACTACTGCAGGTCAGCAGGATTATCCTCTGAAGGAGTTTGTTAATGTTCTGAAGTTTGGGTCTGTTGAAATCTCCTGACTTGATTTCTCTTCCTGCTCAGGATGTTTGGAGGCGGTCAGTGTGCTCGCTGCTTCCAGCCAATCCCAGCTTCCGCCTTTGTCATGAGGTCTGGTGACCTGACCTTCCATCCTCACTGCTTCTCCTGCCAGGTAGCTCAGATGTTTAGATTTACAAGAAACATTTACAGAAACATTATCACCCATTTTGTGCCTCATTCTGAAGTTGTTAAAAAACAAAAGGCATTAGATTGGGTTACTGTCTATCTGTGGATCATTACAACTTTCTGATTTACAGAGATAAAGGTACAAAATGTGCAACATGAACATTTTGAATCAATCATACACACACACCTATTTTACATTTTTATTCATTTAGCTGACGCTTTTATCCAAAGCGACTTACAATTGCTATACATGTCAGAGGTCGCACGCCTCTGGAGCAACGAGGGGTTAAGTGTCTTGCTCAGGGACACAGTGGTGGATGTCTCACAGTGGGAATTGAACCCAGGTCTCTCACACCAAAGGCATGTGTCTTGTCCATTGTTCCATCACCACCCAACCTATATTGGCGATGTAACATTGTACATATCGATACGCAACTCGCTGAAAAGCAACTTGTTATCTTATCTTGTGTTAAATGCACATATATTTGTATAATGTTTTGCAGGAGTGTGATGTGAAATTACAACCGGGGAACTTGTACTGCATGCAGGGCCAGAACCTCTACTGTCAGTCACATTACCATGATGACGGGAGTGCCCCGCTATCACACGATGTCCAACCCCAGCCAAATCTGAGAGATGGTGAGAGATCTGTGTGTGTGTTGTATTCCTTTCGTATTATATAGAAACACACCATTTCCATCTCTGAGACACTGAATAATTTGAACAGGAGTCATTTCTCTGCAATAAAAGGAGGGAGTTGAAAAGTAAAATATTTTTACTGTATACAAATGGTGACAAAAGTTCACCTGGAAACTTTTTTTAAATTTTACTTTTTAAATTTTACTGACAAACAGAACAGATGTCCGTAGAGGAGAATATTAACAAGCCAGATGTGACAGTAAGGCTACATCCACACTTTGTTTTTGTTTTAAAATGCAGACCTTTTGCTACTTTTACGCCTCCCGTCCAGACTAAAACAGCATACCCGAACGCCTGCAACAGAGAAGTTTGAAAACGTTGCTGACTCTGTTTTTGTTTAAAACTCGGGGCAGCGTTTTAGTGAGGACGGAGAAAAAGATCTTATCAGTCATGCAAAGCAAAAACGCGATGCTACTGACAGAGTTTTAGTTGTGGTATTTTTATTAAAATATTTTGTACTGTGCAAAAAAAAACACTTATAGACTTGTACTGTGCATGTTGCCGTATGTCTTCCGCCACCACAGTCGCTTTGTGCTCCCGTGTAACTTTCAGTAACAGTTCCAGCTTGTTGTTGGTCCATGTAAAATCATCTCTGCTGTGGTTCTTCATCTGTAGTATTACTTTCATCTTTCGCCAAATCTTCTGCAGCTGCGGAGTAGACGACCTGCTTCATGTTTACATCTGCACGTGCACGCACGGTGTACATTAACGGCCACTAGATGTGTGTTTTCAGTTGTTTTAATACAGACGGAGATGAATATAACGCTGGTGTGGACAGAGATCGCTCTTGTTTTAGTGTGGCTGAGGCTTAAGGCAGCATGAATTTGCTTTTTTGGCCATTAGGTGGAGGAAAAACTCCACAACAAGCTCCAAAAAACCATACTATCACCTTATAAATTAGTTTTGGCTAACGTGTTAGTGTAGAGTGAGTTCATCAGAGCTTGTTTAATGAAAACAGCTGCCTGCTACTAAACCTGACAGGAAATGTGTAGCAATTTAACCAAAACCAGGAGCTAAAAGAGTTTCTTCGAAAGCATTGTGGTGTGTTTAGACTTTTAGCTAGCTAACAAAACTCTCCTGTATGTGCGTGCGAGAGACAGCTCAAAATCAGGTTTCAGGTGAGGGGGAGGAGTCTGTGAGCAGTCCAGAGCCGCGATTGGATGACGGGGTGACAGGCGGGCGGACCCGCAGGCGGAGCAAGCGAATCAGGACATGTTTCCGCAGCGAGCAGCTCAGAGCGCTGGAGTCCTATTTCGCCCAGAAGCACAACCCTGACGGCAAAGACTGGACCTGCCTCACACATAAGACCGGGCTGCCCAAGAGAGTCCTGCAGGTACAGAAACATGATCATATCATCCTGCACTGCAGAATGTTTTTTACTGTGTCGGCTCTGTGCTAGTGATGGCAAGTTCGACTCTTTTGACAGACTCGTTCATTCAAATCTCGTTCATTAAAATGAACAAATCTTTTTTTGAGTCATTTCGTTCGTTTGAACTAGGCTGGTTATTGCGGCGCTGCAGCCCTCTAGTGGGCGATTAGGCTGCCTGGCTTGCTTTAATTTACAAAATATAATGCACAAATTCACCTCTTGATCACTCTCTATCATTATATAAACCCCCCCGGGCCCACAACCAAATTCAAACCATGTAAAAACCACAGAAATATGTTGTCTATATGCAATCCACTACTCCGCCTAAATCCTTCCATCTTCACAATATTTCCCGAGTATACAACCAGACCAGCCATATAAAGCCTGATGTATATAATTACTATCTTTACTCTCTAATGTGCTCATTCGTACAGTAGCCTAACGTCCCTATGCATGAGTAAAATATTTATATCAGATTTGCAGTAAATATATTGATGTAATAAGCTTGATCCACTATATGAATAAACACACTCTTACTAAAATTCAACCAATTTGATAATAATCTGGATCAAGCTACCAAGTTCTTAAAGAACTGCAGCGCAGAGAGAGGAACAAAGAAATAAGCACATATAAACGCAGCAGTTTGGCAGGTCTGGACGCAGAATGGGCCACATCAGGTCCGAATTCTGCAGACAGAGAAACAAACATGAGCTCTCAAACACTGCAGGTTGTTCACCAGTCAGGAGCTGTGAAACAACAGCTCGGCTCTGTTACAGGGCTAACAGGGCTAACGCTAACGTTGCTACCCGGCTGTGTTTTAATGTTTTAATGACCGGGTCTGTTTGTTTTGGAGAGGAGATGACCTCTAAGGTAATTCGGCTCCCGGTAGAACCCTGTCAGGGCTCTGAAGTGGACCCAGAACAAGTCTCATCAGCTTTAACACTAGCAGGACTAAAGTTACGGTGCGGCTGTGTTAAAACTATAAGTTAGCACAACATCACTGCGCTGGAATAACGTTATGCTTTATTAAATGTCACATCATTAACAAAACAGCTATATAATGTCAGTCCAGTGACTTTTACCGGACAGCCAACCTGCCTCTCATTCTCTGGCGCTGGCAGTCAGTCAGCCTGCCGAGTGAACGAAAGACTGAGGAGGACTGAGGAGGACTGAGGAGGACTGAGGAGGACTGAGGAGGTCAGCCCCTGAATGAGTCGTTCATTCCTGCTCCACAGTAGCTGTCACGTGACAAATGAACGACTCAAACAGACCCACAATTGAGAGTCGTGAACTAATCAGTTCTGTTTCCCGTGCTGACGGAGCTCATGCGGCTGCTGTGCGACGAGTCAACGTAAGAGTCGAAGATCCTTCACGCATGCGTGAAAATGAACGAATTACTCACTGAGACAACCCGTTCCTCACGAGTCATACACACGATTAGGTCTTATGAACGAAACGTTCACTGAACAACACAACACTACTCTGGACAGTAAAGTTGAAATAAGTCAACAGCAGTTATTAAAGTTATAGTCCAAGTATAAAGTTATCTGCTTCTAAAACCACAGTGTCAAAGCTGAAAAGCTGCATTGTTGGTACATTTCATGGAGGCTAACAGTTTCCCCCTGCTTCCAGTCTTTGTGCTAAGCTAGGTAAACACATCCCAAAGCTACTGTTTTCAGGTTTTTAGCAGCACCTATCCAGTGTAGTTTACAGAAAAAGAAGAGATTACTATTAGGAATTTAAATATATTGTAGATTTTAAAGTCTCCTCATTACTTCACTTTGCAGAATAATGTTTGTGCGCTGTGGAAACATGAAGCCTTCACGTCACAAACACTGAGAAATAACCTTTCAGTGAAGTGTGAGACATATTGTGTCCAGCAGTTTTCAACATGAATAGTATTTGCATATTCATAGATTCTGGAGACGGTATAGAAGTAATTTTTAATTACACATTTAGGAGGGAAAAACACAACAGACACACAGAAATAGTCCATGCAGATTATATATATGTCTGAAAACTTGTCTGTGGGGTTCAGTGTGAATTGAATGTTTTCATAAAGGCTTCAGCCACTGGTTATAATTTTTAATATTGTCATTGATTTCTTTTTTCTCAATCCGTAGAATGATTCATTTACTTATCATTTCAGTACTTCCTATGAATCATTATGACATAATGAAGCACATAGTTATAGTCAGAGCTTCTTAATAAGGTGCATTATTATTATAATGATTCGGCACAAAGAAACTTATTCTGATGGAGATTAAACTATGTACATATTATAAATTGTGAAATGCAGTTCTAGGCTCCTCCATGTTACACACAGAGAAAAAGTGCCGACAAATATTCAAATACTTTATATTAGAATAGAATAAAACAATAATACAGAACAAAGTATGTAAAAGTAACACTAAAATGACAAATAAAAATGATGTTTGCACACCTACATATATAATGAAATGAGTAAAATAAAATCTGCATTGTGAGAAACCTTCACACTCGTGTACCTTTATGTCCTTCTTTCACCTGTGAACACTCTCTCTCTCTCTCTCTCTCTCTCTCAGGTGTGGTTTCAAAATGCTCGGGCCAAACTGAGACGTTCCCTCACCTCAGACGACTCTCAGGTCAACTCGCCCTCCGCTCCCACCAGAGGCTTAACCATGGCAACCAGCTCCCCGCCGCCGGCCCGCTCCCCACACGACCAATCCCAGCCCTTCTCCACCAGCACCATCGACCATCTGCAGCTCTCCCTGCTCACCGCCCCGCTCAGCGACCCGCCGTTGAGTCCAGCAATCAACCAGTCACATCAGCTGCAAAACCCGGCCTTCTTCCTGGACTACGATTCCCAGAGTGCACCAGGGTGTATCTCCTCTCTGGAGGCCTACGAGGACTTTGGAGAGGCAGGAGGAGGAGCGGAGGGAGAAGTTGATCCTGATAGTTGTTTTGGTTCACATTACTGCTAGTCGAGGGTCGTTACGTCCATCCTTAAAGAGGTGTTATTATGCTTTTTGGCTTTTTCCCTCTCCTTTACATTTTATTGAGTTATATCTTTTTTGTGCATGTAATGACAAAAAATATTTTTGAAAATGTAACCATGTAAACCTGCTGTGGTACGAAAATGAGCATAATACCACCTCTTTAACTTCAAGGAACAACTTTTCAAAATGAGAGAACAGTTAAAGTTTTAATCCTTTTAACATGTGAGTTTTTAATGTGAAGGAGAAGGAGATCAGCAGGAAATGTAATTTAATCTGGCTCTTACCCATCTGTCGGAGAGAGGACAGTCAACAGTTTGATCAAATTACAGCAACTACTCGCTGCATCACTCGTGTGTGAGAAGGAAAAATGGCGGATTAACAATGAAATCTATTATATAGAGAGGTACACCATATGGACAAAAGTACTGGGACACCCCTCTCTCAGGCAGTTTTTTCATGGTGTGGTCTTTGTTAGAGGAACTCTTAATGCAACAGACAACAGTTTGTGTTTGGCCTGTTCCTGTTTCATTATGACGATGCCACCGTGCACAAAGCCACCTCAATGAAGAAATGGTTTTCCCAGTTTCGTGTGGAAGACCTTGACAGAGCCCAGGACCTCGTGTCCATCCAACATCAGTGACTAAACTCACAAATGCCCATGCTTCTCGATGAACGGGCAAAACTTCCCAACAACAAACTCCAAAATCTTGTGTACAGCCTTCCTAGAAGAGTTGAAGCTGTTAAAGCTGCAAAGGGGGACCAACTCCATATTAATGTGTATGGATTTAGAATGAGATGTTATAAAAGTAATGTGTAGGTGTCCCAGAACTTTTGTCCATTGGCTATAATATAAATCACTGAAGGCTTAAATTGCAGAACAAATGCTGAGAGTATGTCAATAACAGGGTTTTTAAAAAATCTTAAGGATTATAACTTTAACAGAGGTTGTAACTCTCTTGTTAGGGTTTAATTAAGCATTTCAACACTTCAACCACTAACTGATTAATAACTGTAAATACACTACTTTTGAGTTTCTTGACTGTTATAATCAATTAAAGTATGGGCTGGGCTGTATAGTTCAGATCAATACTACAATATTAATACGGATATTATCAGAAATAGACAATAGACGCATGCTTAATTACCCCTTTTTGCTTAATTACCCCTTTTTGTTGGTGAAATAAGATCACGAAGCGATCGCAAATGTTGCAGCCCTAATTTGAAGATGTCACTTTGAACTCGTACTGGGAACGATATTTAAAAAATACTGATAGATGAACCAATAGTAACAAATCATTAGTAGCAGTAGGTAAAGGACTACATCACGTCACATGACAGCACTGAAAGTGTAGTTTTCTATTTCCTTAAATACCTAAGTCACATGATGAGCCCGACTGTGTGCTGTGCTTCTCTGCTTCCTGTGTGATGAAGCTCTTTCTGTGTGACAACTGTGAATAAACCATCAGCTGTTGTTTTCCCACATTTCCTTCCTCAAAGCTTCCTCTTTGTGCACCACAAGCAGTTAGCTGATTCATCGACAAGTTGATGAACAGAAAATTAATTTGCTGTTATTTTGTTAATCATTCAATCTTTTAAGAAGTTTTTAAAGCAACATTGTCAGATATCTTCCAGCATCTTATTTAATTGGATTTTCTGCTTCTCTGTGTTTTTAAAACCTGCATTGTCTCACAAATCCAGCTGTCCTCTTCTTCCCTGCCTTTGTTGGTCCGATGCTGTGTGCGTTGGTGTTTTACCACCACATCTAGAGAGTGAAACTGTGCGAAACCAGCTGCAGGAATGTGTATATTTGTGTGTGTGTGTGAGAGCAAACAAAACAGGAACCCACTCATAAGAAAATAAGAACTTACAGAGAAACAGGAAACCAGATGTGACGTACAATAGTAACATTACTTTGAAACTACTTTATATATGTACCGGCAATCGGATTTGTCTTGTAGAACCATGAAGTTGGTCTGTAAACTATTTTTTTTGCCGTTCACCTTCGTTTGTTTCTTGACCCGCCTCACCTCATTTTGGTGACATCACCCTAACAATGTGTTCCCAGATCTCAGCTGTTAACTCTGACAGAAATGATGGACGAAACTACCAAGATAAGTTGTAATAAACCAGGATTTTAAGCCTGTTCCTCTTATATCATCAAATGTATCCTTAACAAGCATCAATCTTAAAATAGCCTGATGGCAAAATCCCGCTTCAGAATCGGCGCAACCAGCTGCTCTGAAGATCCTTTGTCAGGTAATTGGTGGCAAATTAAGTTAGAGTTTAGAATGATTGATGGTTTGTTGTTCCTCAAAACCAGACAGCTTGAATGACATTCTTTCAGGTGTGTCTGTGTTTTCCCAGCGAGACGACCTTTGTGACGACCACAATGACAAAAGAAACCACAAACCGCCATGGTCTTCCTCTCTGCCTCCTCCCTCCCCCTCTCTCTCTCTCTCTCTCTGAGACTTTCTCTTCTCAGAAACATCTTAATGAATTGGTTGCTTCCTCTTTGTGAATTGCCTTCCCAATCAAGCGGCGGTAATTACGGGCGACACTCCGGGCCTCGTCGCTGAGGTGGGCCAAGGTTTCTCAGCTGAAAGAATGAAGGTTGTTAGGATCGACGCTGACTCGTGTGCGTCAGAGGGGCGAAGGACCAATGGGTGACAGCAGCCTGTGACCTGATGCTGGCGGGGGGGGGAGGATGGAGGGCGGGCAGTTTTTAAAAAGGCCAGAGGCGACGAGTGTTAGAGAAGATACAACAAGTTAGACCGCAACACAAGGTAAGACGTGTGAATTTGGGACACATTTTTCTTGTTAGTTTTTTTTCCCCTATAGAGACATAAGTAACTTATTTTATTCTTATTTTACACTTTTATATTTATCTTTCCAGATGACACTTTCTTTCCATCCCGGTACCTCACAGCTCACCCTCCTCTTCTTCACCCTCCTCTGCTCCATCCCACGGACTGTCTCATCATACCCCTTCTCCCCCAGCGCCCTCCTGCCCACGGCGGATGGACCTGAGCTGGAGTCGGGCCTGAAAGACCCGAGGGACGACTGGCTCGTCCGGCCCGACGCCTGGGCCGAGTGGCCTCAAGACCCCCGGCCAGCCCCGCTGGAGCCTGGGGAGGAGGAGGGCGATTCCTGGGAAGAGGAGGCGCTGCTCAGGGCCCAGAGAGGAGACCTGATGGCCCAGCCGCTCTCTCCTTTCCCCGGGGGTCACTCTCTGGAGAGCATGCACTATCAGGAGGGAGGAGAGGGGGAGGAAGCAGGGAAGAGGAATGACGCTCTGACCTCCATCGCTGGAGGACTCCAAGCTGTGAGCCGGGAGAAAGGAGGATTCGGTTTCCGCTTTGGGAGGAAAAGATGGATGGACGGACGAAGGGACGGGGAGCACAGAGGAGAATAAGTGGAAATGATGAGGGAGGGGTTTCGACGGGAAGGAGTCTGACGGGAGATAGAGAGGGTGAAGCTGAGAGGAGATGAGTCAGCGGGTGGCGATACACTCAGCTGTTTTCTAGGCAGCAAAGATGGCTTCCAGCAACAGGCAATACACAGACATGCAGGAGTATTTAAATGATTTTTAAAAGTGTTGCTTGAAAAGTTGCCCATTCGATCACTGCCTTGAAAATAAGATGCAGTGCAATGTGTAGGGCAGGTTGCACTAAAGCTCCAGGAAAAGTTCGATAGAACAGGAGGACCAAAACAAAACACAGATATGATTTAATTGCAAAATCACCATCATCTAAACAAAACTATACAAAAGAAAATAAGAGTAATATACACGGATATGGATTCAACACCGCTACACTGTCTTTGCTTCTGTGACAAAGAAAGCAGTGACTGGATGTACAGAAAGACAGAAAGAGGACATGTCCACTCATCCGATGTTAAAGCTTCTCTGCAAAAGTGAATGTAAATGTTAATGTATCTCTGTCAGACACCACCAGTGTAATAAATCATGTACATATACTGTATATTGGACGTAGGCCTTTGTAAATGTGTTAATTTGTTGGCTTGACCATAAGCAATGAATAAAGAGTCGGGAGTTGCAGACTGTAACACGGATTTTGGGGTCAGATGTTTGATTCTTTCAAACAGCGTATGGACGTTTCACCAGATATATTCAAAGCCTTTATTTCACTAATACCACACTGTAAAAATACTCTGTTACAAGTTACAGCATCGAAAAAGTATAATCAGAAATAATTTACTTAAAGTATTAAAAGCACTCATCTGAAAGCTTTAGTTACTTGTTACTTTACAAATTAAGATTTTTTTCTACACACAAAACATGTGAAAAGCTTTTAAAATGTGTTTTGTTTAAAACAACCAACCACAAGTGCAGCTGAAGTTATGATAATTGTTTCTGACGATTAGCTGAGTTTCCTTTTAATCATTTTAATTTATTTTTAATAGCATTGAGGTTTGGACTATTTCCCGGACAAAACAATCATTGTGAAAGGTGTCACTATGGGCTCTGGGTAATTGGGACGACATTTCTCACTATTTTTTTACAAACCAAACAATCAACCAATCAAAGGAGAAAATAATCAGCAGAATAATCCCGAATGAAAGTAATCATTAGCTGCAGTCTAGTTGCTACCAATACCATTGATATCTATGGATTCAGAATAACCTGAGCTAATATAAGCATGCATCTAGTGTAATTATATAGGAAGTATGAGTTAAATATGTACAATACAGTTAAAAATTTCAAAAATGAAAATTAGATTTGTGATTTATTATTAATAATCACCCCTTACACAACCATCTTAACAGTTTTTGAACAAAAAAAAAATTAAATAAAACCCCTATTTTTTTACATCATTTTGCAGGTTTTCAATAAAATATGCACAGAACAGTGAAATAATGCACCTTTCGTGCAAACAGTCCAACGTGTTTTTCTCATGCATGCCACTGAGTAACGCCAGGCCTCTCTGTGAAGCTGTAGAGGGGCACCGGGCGAGGCCCACCCTGCCATGATGTCTTTGTTACAGGCTTCGCTTCGCTTGCAGTGCTCACAGCACATCTGCCAGCCTGTGTGCATGGTTTGCTGTGTCCAAATGGGAAATGAGCACAGGTGTGTCAGTCTTCTTGTCTGTCTGATGTGGCCACATCCACACTAAAACGAAAACAACGATCTCACATCAGGAAGTCAAATGTGAGCGTAGCCTCATTGTTTTTAAAGTCCTCCGTTTTCGCCTGTCTGTCCCGGAGTTCTTAAAAACAAAAACAGGGTCAGCAGCGTTTTCAAACTTCTTTGTTTTAGGGGTTCGGATTCGCCGTTTAAGTCTTTTAGGAAGGTAGTTGCAAACGTAGCAAAAGGGTCTGTGGTTTAAGATGAAAACGTAGTAGTGTGGATGTAGCCTGTGTTTCTAAAGTCACCCTAGATTATGATGTAGGTTAGATGATGTGCTTGGTGTCATTATCAGTGTTGGGCAAGTTACTCAGAAATTGTTCCTTGTTACTTATAACTCCTTAAAGTAAGAATATTAGCCTACGTTACTTATTGCTTGGTATTGATAGTAAGTAGTTTCGTTACTCGTTACGGTACTATCTCCCCCCTCCCAGCCTAAAAAGTGATGGACAACCTGTTCAGCAGCTCATTTTAGAAATGAATCCACCATGGATCAATGAGCCAAACTGAAAACACTGCAGCCTCTCAAACCAGATGATGCTATAATTAAATATTTTACAGGCTGTCAATAGGCTATGGGCCTACAGTCTTTAACAAACAGCACTATTCAGTGCTTTTGCATAACATAAAACGTTACTTAACGCCACTCTCTTGAGTCCACTCATCACTGGCAGCAGCGGCCAGAGTTTCCTTCTATAAGTTTCGCATTGTTGTGCTGCTTCAGCAGATGCTTCAATAAATTAAATGTAAAAAGATAATCCGGTTGTCGGGGAGGGATGATCTGGTCCTGGCCTGCCCCCTAGTGGATTCAGGTTTAACCCTCCAAGTACACGCAAAGTACGCAGGCAAGTATGTGAACAATGCCGTTTGCATTCCCGCCTGCCTGTCTACGCCGACGGATTGTTAAAAAGTAAGTATACTCAGGGCTTTAGGTCTGGCTTCTCGACTTCAACTGCAACCTTTTAGTAACGCTGTAACGTAACGCTGTAACGCAGCATTACTTGGATTAGTAACTATAATATTAGGCTACTGTTTTGTAAATGGTACATTACACCACTACTGGGGAAAGTATTGATATTACAGTAAATGTAATACTGCCCAACACTGGTCATTATTGAGAAAGGAGAAAAAAACTCCCCTCATGCAGCCACTGAAACAAACATTCACAACACTGTCAATCAATTTCCGACTCAAATACACACAATTGCATGTATCCAAAAAATAAAACAGTAAACTACAAACTAATGAAAGTATATTTTATACTACAACAGCTTTAAGTAGGCCCACTTTAAGTACATTTTCCATTTTATACTTTTACTTAGCAACATTTTCAGTGCATAAGTAGTGTTATAGTTTGATCTGAATACTTCTTCAAGCGGTTTCACGCAGTTGGTCTTCTCACGACATGTCTGCACCAAAAAAAAAAACCTTCCGTGTTGTAATCTGCCTAGCAACCCGTTCTGAATTATCTGATTGGTCGATTGGTCGAGCAGCAGCCTGAGCGCACACTTCTCTCGTCCTGAGCAGCTTTTTGTCTTGTTTTTTTTTATCATTCTCGTTTTAAAACCATGAATTCACCGACAAGCTGGATGTTTTTGTTCCTGCCATTACTGTGGCTGAATTTAGAGGCAGCTGCAAACGGTAAGTTAACTGTCGTCGGTCACGTTCATGTAACGTTAAACGGAAATAAACGTCTCTTAGTTTTTTACAGCAGTTCACAGTTAAAGTTACCAAATTTATTTACAACCAAAGGTTTATTTAAAGACCTTAACTTCTCATTTTCACGAGGTTGTCCAGATAACTTACAGATTCATAGACATATTTAAGAAAATAGACGACATGTATTGATCCTTTTATCTAACTTCCTACTTCCTCAACATGTGTGAGGCCTGTCCCTGCGTTACTTCCTGAAATATAACCGTTTAAAACTGTTTACTGGTTATAATGTTATATGTTCTTATTATATTACATAAAGCGTTAGCTGTAATCTTAATCGAATTAATATTATGTGAGATTAAAATGATATCAGTCATGGTTAATAGCCTATATTGTTTCTCTGACGTCGTTTCTCTGCACTGAACAGAGGTAACGTATGAAAAAGAAATGTGTAATAACAACATAAGTTTTCTTGTAAAATAATATATTAATATAATACTCTATTATTTGTTAGACGCCTTTTAAGTTTAGTGAACTACCTTTTTAAAATATTAAAACTTGTTATCAGCCCGGCTTTTATTACAAACTTATTGATCCATGGATGAAAACTTGATCACAGCAAACAGCAAACCGAGTTCAGCGCAGACAAAACGTATCAAAACGGTTTTTTCCAACGGAAACGGTGATGCCCTGAACACACCCTGCTGTGTACGCAAGCGCACTGCATTTTCCTGCCTTTTTTTTTTAACACCGTTGTGTTTATAAACTTTACACAGCTGATTGGGTGACACCTGAGACACGCCCACCAAACACACCTGAGACACGCCCACCAAACACCTGAAGCCCGTTGCGCAACGTTTTGAGATTGAACTCGCCCCACGATTCTGCAGCAGTTTACTGATTACGGTCAATGAATATGTACATTAATTACCAATAACATCACAACACAACAACATTAAATACAGAAAGAGACAAGGCGTTGAGGAGAAGACAGATCTGAACAGGACAAATAGAGACAACAAACAAAAGGAGCAGAAAACACTTTGTATGAGGGAGATATAAATTCAAATATAGCCTATAAATTAATTGTCTTATTAATGAGACTTTGTATGAGGGAGATATAAATTCAAATATAGCCTATAAATTAATTGTCTTTTTAATGAGACTTTGTATGAGGGAGATATAAATTCATATATACCTATAAATTAATTGTCTTTTTAATGAGACTTTGTATGAGGGAGATATAAATTCAAATATAGCCTATAAATTAATTGTCTTTTTAATGAGTACTTTGCCAATCATTAGAGAGGTTTAGATAGTTTTGTTGTTGTACAGTAATTTTGAGAGTGACTTGAAGAGATGTTGTAATTCATTAAAAAACAAATGAAAATTCTTGAAAAGTGTTCAAGTCTTATGGATGTAAAATTTGCCATGAAAGGTACAATATTTTTAGAGAATTATTGATTGGTTGTGAGTAGGGCTGGATAATATGGCTAATAATGTCATCACGATGAAACATTTTATATCCTTTGATATCGATAATTATCGCGATAACTGTCAAATCATTATTTCTTTCAAGTTTAAAGGCTGATTTTTGTTCCTGAGTGAAAGTTGGAGAGCCGAGATGGTTAATTGTGGTTTTAAACTTTTCATTATGGTCAGAACAAACAGTGGATCACTTCACAAATCTGTGGTGGAACATTCAAAACAATAAAGTAAAATCTTTATTTCATTCCCCTTTTCCTCAACAAAATACAATACAATACAAACATTAATGAACATTAATTGAACATTTGATATATTGTTATTGAGTAAAATTATATTGTGATAATCATCATTATTGTTTTATAGCCCAGCGCTTGTTGTGATTCAGTATTAAAATTTAGAAACAAGACCTTCTAATAAGGGTGTTAATGTGTTAAAACATAGATTTTTATTAAATGCTTTTCCTGCTGTGGTGTGTAAAGATGCTTTGTGAGCAAAAAATACAGAGGATTTTAAGTAAACTATATTATATTTTTATTAATAAGTATTTGTAGCTTTGTAGTAGTTTATAATATTTAACTCTCACATGGTGCAAAAAGTTATGAGGCTTGAAAAATTGAACGGAATGCGACCGAACGAGCTTCCCCTGAATGCACCATATAGACTAGAGCGGCAGAGACGCAGCGCCGCCATTTTCAGAGATAAGGAACAAGAAGCAGCCATCGCTGAGCCGCGGCCTGCGCGGAGTAAACACCGTCTTAAAGTCGGATAAAACTCGAGTTTTAGA